AACAACAGGACAGAGACAAAGATGTTTATCCTGAAGGTATTCATCATGCAGATACTTTCCCTTTCTCTTTGTGTATAACACTTACTCATTGTGCTCTTTTCCTGAGTCTACCTGTTCTCTATGTACTTGTCCGAGTGTTTCTGCCTCTTTTTGAGTTCCCAGAGACCAATGCTCCTTTTCATTATGTTATTATTCTTATTATTATTGGTAAACCATAATTATTTGCAGAGCACTCCTAAGTTCCCCACTCTGTCTTAGATATTGTAACCTTGTCTGGATACCACCCTTTCTTGAAAGTGGTCATTATTTAAGATTTTGCCATAAAAATATTACTGTCCTCTGTTGAATAAATCAGAATGAAGATGTCCTTGCAAATTTAGGAAAAACGAGTTAAAAGTCAGCTAATTTAGAATATATATAAAATGTATATACATAATTTTGTGGAAATTCATTTTAAAACTTAAGTATTTCCTTAAGTAGTATTCTGGTTATGTAGAATCCACATCCTTAACTGTGGCTGTCTCTTTTCTTCTATCCATATTGTATCACCATAGGCCCTACCACCTTTCTTTGTATCTTACCTGAGATGTCAAAATATAGATCCTTCTAAGGAGACAGTTGTTTACTCTCATTTCCTGTCCATAGTCCAGTCTTTAAATGATGTATATACTCAGTCCAAGATGGATGTCTGTGATTCATAGACAGACTCTCATTCTCCTATGTCCCTTAGAAAAGCTCAAGATGCAGAGATTACAGAACATAGAATTCAAGTTGAAATAATGAAAGAGGGGAAGTAGAAAGGATCAGAAGCTACTTCTGTGTACTGAGGGGTAGAAATGATATGATAGTCTGGGGACTTACACCCTGGCCAAAGTCAAATATATCCAGTCTCTTACTGCCATCTTGTGTCACTGATGAAAGACCAAAACTCACAGCTAATAATGACCATAAAGTGGTTGGTGATTGTATTATATTTATTAGCAGCAGGTGGTTATTTTTTGGGTCTCTCGATGCCCGAGTTATTGCCATGGAGATGTTGCACTGGGTTTAATTAAAAGCTAAATTGATTGTGGAAAACAGAGTCAAACCACAAAATGTCAAATTGCTTGAAATTAGGCCCAGGAAGTAGGATTTGAGAAGCAAAAGGCTCTAAGTCTCTGAGACTCAGCAATTTTAGAAAATTTGACTAATTTTAAGCTGATTTCTCAATTTCTCATGTTACAAAAGGACAAAAGGAAACATTTATCCTACTAATATATGTTGATAAGTACATGAAAAAGCATTCTTGTTTAGCTTAAAGGTATTTTTGTAATTGTAAATGAGAAGGTAGACCCTTGTCAAACTGAGAGGGTAGATTGGGCAATGCTTCTTATAGTGAAACAGGTCAGAAGAAGCTGAAAGGAGACTCATTTCACCATTGTAATTGCTAAGTTCATTTTTTCCCCTGTATCTTTCTCACCCAGAACCTAATATAATATGTTATTTCATGTAGGAAATACCAATAAATGCCTGCTGAATGTTGAGTAAGTAAATAAGCATAACCATTACCCTAATGATAGAAACAAAGCCTCCATTTAAGCAGAAATACCATCATTCTTTATCTAATCTCTAAAATTTCTAATTTCTTGTTCCCTTGTGGCTATGCTAAGAATGATTGTGATTTCAATATCTCTTTCCATCCCTGTGTTAACACATATTGAGGACCAACAACAATAATAGCTGGATGGGAGCTCTGGTAGCATAGTGCCTAAGGCATTTGGCTGCTAACCAGAAAGCTGGTGGTTCAAACCCACCAGCCACTCCTCAGAAAGAAAGTTGGTCAATCTACTTCCTAGTGATATCACCTCATAAATCGGGTCTGACTCGATGGCACATAACAACAACAACAATAATAGCTGGTTTCTAGGAAGAGCTCAGCAAGTATATGACGGATGAAGAGATAATAGTAAGGAGAACACAAAACGACTGAGAGCAAGAAATGATTCCTATGAGAAAAGAGGAAGGAGGAATATTATAATTTAATCTGAATGCTGAACATTTTTTTTTTTTAAATTGGTGCCTAGCACTCCCTCTCATTTGTTCTGATAATAGTGCTCCCACATTACAGTGGTTCATTTTGCCCCCACTGTCATCCAGTAGTTGTTGTTTGCCATCGAGTCGGCCCTGACTCATAGCGACCCCTCCTTGGGTTTCCGAGGCAGTATCACTACGGAAGTAGGAATGCCCAACCTTCCTTCCGAGGAGTGGCTGGTGGGTTTGAACCGCCAGCCTTCTGGTTAGCAGTCAAGTGCCTTAGCCACTATGCTACCAGAGCCACTCCTCGAAAGGAAGGTTGGGCAATCCTACTTCCGTAGTGATACTGCCTCGGAAATCCAAGGAGGGTCGCTATGAGTCGGGGCCGACTCCACAGCACATAACAACAACAACAGTCATCTAGTTGCTTCACTGTGAAGTTTCACAGGTGGAGAAAGTGACCTTGGTTAAGCCAATCAGGACATTGGAGTCTTCCTGGCCAGAATTGTTCAGAATTATCACAGGACCTGACTCTAGGCTGTTACAAACAACAAGATTTGCTCTCATAACTTTTGTTTTTCACGTTTAAGGAAGTGAGTTTCCTGTTTCTCTGGATTGGACTGTGTGACCTGAAGTTGCCAGAGACTACAGTGCTTGGCCTAAAACTGGGACTAAGACAGCAGGAACAGAGAGCTCTAAGATGTATTCAGATGACTGTGAACTCTGAAGCAAGCTGTACCTGAAATAAATTTTACTGATGGACATTTTAGCCTACACGAGCCAGTGTTGTTGTTGTTATCATGTGCTTTCAAGTCGATTCTGATTCATAGGGACCCTGTATGTCAGAATAGAGCTGCTGTTATCTTTACAGAAACAGCAGACTACCAGGTCTTTATCCCATGGTGCTGCTGGATGGATTTAAAGCACTGACCTTTTGGTTAGCAAGTGAACACTGAACCATTGCACCATGAAGACTCCTCATGAGCCAACAGATTTCCCAGTTTGAATTGGCTTATCTGTTATTTGAAAACCAAAGAATCCTAAATGATTAGATCCTATTCCATTCCACCATGGATTTGAGACTACTTAAAATGTGTACTATGGATGCAATCAAGCACATGCCACGCCACTTGGTTCAGCATGAAAAAATGTCAGAAGTCTGGATATTAAAAAACAAAATCACTATTGGCATAAAGTAAATTAAACTAAGCCTGCTATCATTTTTCCTTTTTTTTTTTTTTTTACCTTTCTGGGTTTTTGCTATTTTTCCAATCCTAGCTTTTCTTTTTCCTGTCTCTCCCTTACATTACTCATTCAAATCTCCTATTTTGCTCCTCAAGAATAATGCCTATGAAAAAAGGTACATATGATGATAATATTCTTAAAATTTAACAAATGCATATTATATCATGAAACAGTGTGCTAGAATTTTAAGACATTCCCTGCTTTAATCCTTATAACCATCACCTGAGTTAAGCCCTACTTTAAATAATTGCCAATTTACACAGTTTATTTGTTCATGCTCACACTGTAAGTAAGCCATGGAACTTACTTTTAAATGCAGGTTCTGTGAAATCAAGCAAGAGGTCTTAAACTATTTGCTTAAGTGAAAAGGGCAAATGAAAATTTATGAAATTGATATTATATAATTCAGTTGTCTTATTGAAATACATCTTTAATAAATGTCACAGTAAACTCAGTCAAATATGTTCGATGCACCTATGAAGAGGACTGAAACATTGTAATTTCTTATAGTAAGACGTGGAGGAAAAAGAGAATTGTGCACTCTTCATTGTATTCTCTGTAGTATCTAATTTAAGCTGATAAGTAAGTAAACAGTACTCAGTGTTCTTAATGGTCAATTGTATCTAACATCATGTTAACCTTAATTTATAGAGTAAAGGAAGGAAAATTAAGGGGATATGAAGGAGAACTAATATTTTTTAATGCTTTCTATTTTACAAACACTGAATTGCTTTGCTGTCGTTGTAGTTATTATGTGCCGTCCAATCGGACCCGACTGGTTAATAGTCAAGTGCCTTAGGCACTACACTACCAGAGCTCCTCTGAATTGCTTTACATACATTAATTTCTTTAAATATTACAATGGCTAAATGAGGTAGCTATTATAGGTTCCATGCTACCTACACAGGGAGGAACTGATAGCAAGAGTTCAAACTTGGCCCAATGAATTTAAGTGGAAAATGATCTGAATCAGGGTTGAAACTCGGTCTTTGTGATTCCAAAGTCTATATTTTCTTCTCTACCTCCAATGTCCTAAAACTTTATTTCCTCCCTTATTTATCCATCAGTGAATACTTAGTCTAGAAATAATCATTTTATTGCAAATATTTCTTTTTAAACCTCAAAAAAAGATATATACAAGCATTCAGAGATTTAAAACAATTTTTTTCATTATTCCTTCAATGTTGAAAGGGTATCAACAGGCTGAGTATTCACAAAAGACAATGCAGTGCTCCAAGTGTTGATCTGAGAAAACTGCTATTCACAGCATATGAAAATAGAAACAGCTTGAGTTCTTTAACATTTACATGTTCATATGACTTTCTGGAGACTGATTGGTATAACCTATACATTCTAAAAAGAAAAGAAAAAAAAAAAAGTCAAGTCGGATCCGACTCATAGAAATCACTCCATGGGTTTTTGAGGCAGTATCACAGTATCATTAAGGAAGTATATGGTCCAATCTTCCTTCCAAGGAGTGGCTGGTGGGTTTGAACCACCAGCCTTCAGGTTATGCCTTAGGCAGTAGGCTTCCAGAGCTCCTTAACCTATACATTGGATATAGGCTACACCTTAGGAAGAATTTTCCAATGAAAAGAATCAAGCTTTCTTGAAATGCTTATTCCCCTCCCCCCTTTTTTTTCTTTCAAGCAGATTTAGAAAAAAGAACAAATCTGATTATAGAATTGAAGTTTTATCCAGGACACTTTTATGAATATTCCTTTCCTGAATTATTAACGTACTCATAGAGTTTTAGAAAATGAATATCTATTCAGGACTTTCCTCAGAGCTGTCTTCACTTCTTTATTTCTCAATGTGTAGACAAGGGGATTGAGAAGTGGGGTGATTATAGTATATGTTACTGCCACTAGCCGATCTTTGTCTGAGGAGTATAGGGATGTAGGCCTCAAATAGATAAAAGAAGCACAGCCGTAGTGGACAATGACCACTGTGAGGTGGGAGGCACAAGTAGCAAAAGCCTTCTTCTGCCCTTCCACTGAGGAGATCTTGAGGATGGTGGAAACAATGAAGATATAAGAGATGAAGATCAACACAAAGGGAACCAGCAAAACCAGAATGCTGAGGAAGAAGATGACTATCTCCTTCAGGCTGGTGTCTGTACATCCCAATCTGATGACAGCTGAAATGTCACAGAAAAAATGGTTGACTTGATTGGAGGCACAGAAAGGCACACTGAACACCAGAACATTGACTACCACAGAGATCAGGAAACCACAGAAGCTGGAGGCTAGCACCAACTGCATGCAGGTGGCTCTACTGACAATGAGTGTGTAGTTGAGAGGATTGCAGATGGCAATGTACCGATCATAGCCCATTACAGCAATGAGAAAACAGTTGGTACAAGCTAAGCCCACAAAGAAATAGAGTTGAGTAGCACACCCAGAGAAAGAAATGGTTGTATTTGTGGAAAGTAGGTTGGTCAGCATTTTGGGTACAATGACCAAGGTATAGCAGGTTTCAGAGCAAGAGAGGACAAAGAGGAAGAAGTACATGGGGCTGTGCAAAGTCCGGTCTAGGCGAATGACGGTCATGATGGTGGTATTGGCCATCAAAGTGGCCAGGTAGACCAACAGGAAAGTAAAGAAGAGAAGGATCTGCAGATCCCCCAGGTTTGAGAAGCCTATAAGGATGAACTCAGTGATGATACTTTGGTTCTGTCTCTTCATTGGTCAGTGCAAATCAGATCCCACAATCTGAAATCAAGAGCATAGAGTACTTCACAAAAATGAAATGACCCCAAAGAAACCCAATTTATGTTTCTATAAGAAAGCTAGTAATTCTAGGCTGAAAAAAATTAGTCATAAAAAACTTAAGCACATGGATTGGTGCGGGGTGGGAGAAAGAAGGAGGCATAAGGAGCAGTGGGATAAATAATTTTCAAGTTCAAATTATTTTTTGAAAAAATCTTTATTTCTGTGAGTTATTTCCATTCTTTGTATTTATAATTGCATGGAAGATTCATAGTGTATTAAATCAACAAATGATTTAGAGCTCATCTCATCAAATCCTATCATTTTTTGGAAGAAGAAATTGAGGCTCAAAAACATTAAACTATTTGTTTAACCCACATGAGAGGGACAGTCCTTATAAATCACTTAAATTTAAAGCCATGATATAAAAATCTAACTCAGAAAAAAAAGAAAGCTGAAACAAATGAAAAAGGTATCTATATACCCCTTCATATCTCTGATTCAAATATTACTTTTTTCAGATGTTAATAATTTAATTTTAAAACTCTTCAGATTCTATTTACTTATGAATGTTTATGAAGCCTTTGGAATGACCTTATGATGGTCCCATATATTGGTGTTTCCTTTATTATGAATGCATGCAATTCTGGAACCAAGAACTCAAGGAAAGCTCAAATCACCCTGTGAACATGGCAAAGCTTGTGCTGATACCTCTGCTCTTCTGATCTCTGCCTCAATCTCCATTGCAGCCAGCTGTCCTCAGAAGAATCCTCACTGTTATCTCTGGGATGAGCTTTAATTTGATTTGGAGATCACATGATACCAAAACCTTCATACCAGCCTTAGAGAATCAGACAATCTTTATATTAAAGAAAAGCTCAAGAAACCAATCTACATTCAGTTCTGTGAAAGTCTTTAAAGCAAATTGGACAAGTATGATACATTCTCTGTAGTCAACAAAGCAGCTTGTTCTCTTCCTAGACAGCTTATTTGCCTAGAACCTTCTTACGCTTAGCACCTATGCCTTCTTGTTCTCTACTTGTCCTCTGTAGTCACAAGGAGTTTAGTTTATTTTCATAAATGATGGCCTTTTAGTTATTTGAATCAAACAATCATGTCCCTTTATGGGTCTTATTTTCTTCTTGACTAGCCTTCTCAGTTCCTTCAATTCTTTCTGATGACATATTTTCTGGAATCCTTGTTTAATCATAATTTAAATGGTACTAAACATTGGATTATGTCTCCATCCTGCAGCCAGTAAGCAAACTGGCTAGCCCCTTACCATTGCACATAACTAACTCCTATCTCGCTCCTTCTACACATAACATTACATTTTTTTTTCCTGCTGTTATTTTTTCCTTACTACCAGTTATTTATTTGACTTTCAAAATCCTTGCTAAACATTTATCTCCTGAAAGCCTTCCCTGAGTAGCTCTAAATGACTTTGATAATGTTCTCATTTACTTCTCTGTCAGATCGCTCTGGGATCATTTGCTAGAATCATAGTGAGACTTGGAAGGATGCACTCTCTGGAGCCAATTGACTTATATCGGAGCCATGTCTCTTCCACATTATGACTTTGGAGAAATCACTTCTTTGTACTTCAGTTTTTCATCTCTGAGACGACAATAATAATATCACAAATCATAGGATATTTGTGAGTACAAAATGCTTGCAAAAAATGTATGACTCATAGTGAGCATTCAATAAATGATAGCTGTTACTATGTAGTTCAACCCCCTCATGTTACTGAACATTGGATTATGCCACCATCCAGCATAAATGAGGAAACTGAGACCCAAAGAAGTAATATGTAAAGATATAGGTGGCATAGCCATTTAGAAGCAGGGATGAAAGCATATCCCAAATATACTTAGCTTCTCTATTCAGAGCTCTAACTTCTGAATTGCCAGGGTCTTGTTTTTAGAGTTGCCTTTGCACTGTGTTTATCCATCTAGCCAGTAACATGTCCTCTACTCTGTGTGATATTGAGGCTGTTTTTACTTCACCCTTCAGTCTACTCCTATTTCCTCTTCTACCTCTGGCCTTTCATCCATAGTTTTCCTTCTCCTTAAGTAGATATCTATCCTTCTATTCACACAAATTCATCCTATTTATTAGTTTAAGTCCAGTTTAGGAAGGTTTTGATGATTTATGCTCTAGTTTGCTGTTTCTAGATGAAAACCTCTAACCCATCCCTAACTTTTCTTTTTTCCATATCCAGAAAGTAATGTCTGGTTGGGTCACTGCCCTCATTATAGAATTTCTGTCCTTGTGTTTCTGGATCTTAGAATTATGACCAGTAACTTCTTCTGTTCATAATGCCTTCTGAATCTTCCTTTGATACCAGAAATATTTGTAGAGTGAATTGATAGATGATTTTGCTAAGAAGGAAGAGATATCTCTACAGCTATAATTCTTAAGAGGCACTTACATTCACAGGCAGATTTCTGGCACAATCTCAAGTTACTTTTTCCTGACTCAATCAAAGTCTAAAGAAGAGAGAGAAGCAGAACAGATTTTGAAGAACATAAGGTACCACTATTCTCCCAGATCTGATTAGGCAGAATGTAGAGGCCATGAACTTTGAAAGACAAAACAGACCTCTGCCTGACAGCTGGTCTGGAGCTGCCTGGACAGCTGTGATCTTAACAGCTCTGTGTTTCTGTTGGCAGATGCACCAGCAAGATGCATGGGTCTTATCCAGTGGGGACACTCCAGGGAATTAAGGCCTTGGAGAGAGGTCTTTCTTTGGAATTTAAGCATTAAAATATATTGCTTTAACTTGTATATTCAGGCCTCCCCCCAAACAAAAACAAGGAAGGAACCAATGAATTGTTGATTTGTGTAGCAAATGCATAGCTTTGAATAATATGATTTTCATGGGCCATTTATTTAAACTCAGTTATATTTCCTGAATGAAAGAATGAATTATCCATCCATCTAGACCCATAACCCATAAAATTAATAATGAAAGAATAAATTATCATTCTCTCATTATTAGTTTTATAGGTTATGGGTCTAAATGGATGGTTTTAAGGAGTTAAATAAATAACATGCTTAACAGCTTTCATATAGTTTCCTTCTCTTCCTTCAAGTTTGCTAGTTGAATAAAACAGGTAGTTTTTCCAATAATGCTCCTACTTTATGCATTTAAGTTTTGGATACATTTTGAAGAGACTCCATAATTCTAACTTTTTGTACATTCTTCTGCTTGCTAGATTCTTATCTTCATATGAATTTGTCAGTACAACTATTTGTCTATGCATTCATTTAATCAACATGTGCTGGGTATGCACTATGCTCCAGGCACTCTGTGTGTTTTGGTGGTGTCGATGTTCGTGTTGAGGAAGGATAGAGATGAGAATTACATGGTCTGTTCCAGGGGTGGTTAAGGGACCATCATGCCTCCTGAGGTGTGTGTGAAGATACCTATTTGTGGTTCTTGCCAGGATCCTCTGAATCAGAAATATTTTAAGTGGGTCTTGGGGATATATTGCCATTGGTTAAGGTGACTTATTTCTCTCTGGTATCTGTTTGAAAAGATCTTGTTGTTTTGGGGGTCATAGAGAAATAAATGGAAAATTACACAGAGCAAAAAAAGACTAAGATGGAAATAGGCATGGGTGCTGCAGCATCCCTGAGGAAGGAGTGCAGATCTTATATGGGGATTAAGATCAATGGGTCTCAGATTCCTCAAACTACTCTACAATGCTCCCACCCAATCACCTTTCTCTTAAAGGCATATGTTCTTTGATTTCTGTGCTATTAGGATAGGAAAGAAATGTCATGCATTTTGTACTCAATTGTTAATTCTGAGAAATAAAAAAAAAAAAATTATCAGCTGATGTATGTGTGGATATGGGCTAATATATGTTTATTTTTGTGGAATATTAGAGTTCTATTATCCCAGAGTGAATCTTAGGGTAAGGACAACTATTCAGAAGTAAGAATTATTTAAATTGATATGACATTTTAAAGACCAAAAGGATGATAGACTATAACAGTTTTTACAACCGAGTATAATATTCTACCTATTTTTTAATGCTATAACTATAATAATACCAACTTTATGAACACTTACTGGGCAGTCATCATTGTCCATTTATTCATTTACATGATCTCTCTGATAACATTGTCAGGTCAGGCAATATTATTCCCATTTTACAGAATGTGATAGTTAAGGATATGTGTCAACTTGCCTGAGACTGGTTTTGAGAGGCTGGGTAGGTGGATGTAGTTATCCTCCATAATGAAACTGGTAATCAACTCCATGGTGGAACCTGTTGAAAGCAACTGAGTAGCTGCCTTAGGGATGTGGTCTACTTCCAGTGTATAAGGAGAACAATTGAGAAAAGTCTCTTGAGTTTTTTTATGTGCTTGGATCCTGCATTTAGCCAAGTCTTCTTTCAGCAGCCTGCCATGTTGTCTGTTGATCTTGGTACTGTTTCTGGGCTTGAACAAGTGGCCTGTTATGTTGTCTGATAATCTTGGGGCTATGCCATTTTACTTGTCATCTTTGGGTTTATTAGCCTCAGAAGCCAGCAGCAGCCTGAGTTAAGAGAAGCCTCCAGCTTCAGTGAGCCAGGAGCAAGAGTCAGAGCTGAAAGGCAAGCTTGGGTGGCCTTTACCCAGTCCCTAAAGCTAACATTTTGAACTCAGACTTCTAACCTTCTAAACTGTAAGAGAATAAATCTCTGTTTGTATAAAACATACATTTATGGTATGTCTGTTATAGCAGCACTACAGAACCAAAACACAGAAGGAATCCAAGAAAAGCACAGTAGCTCCACTGAACTAAAGAGAGTGAAATTGAAGTTTGGTGATGCTGAAGCAGTTAAAATTTATGGAACAATGTACCAAAGAGGAGGGATAAGTTTATAGTAGTTCCAAAATATATATGTGGGTACCCTTGCATAAGAACATAAGAAGCTGAATGCTAAGCTGCTCAAGCATAAGGTGAAACTCAAGGCTGG